TTATTGTGAATTTTTTTTAATGGTTGTATGACATTTACTTTTTATTGAACAATATCACAAAATTTACTTTCCGTTTATGTAATTTTGTAAATTTGACATCGAATCATTTGATCTTACTGACCAATATCGACGTCGGAGAGTCTTGACGCGGTAAACAATGGTCATTAATATAAATAGCATATAGAATTATTTTATGTTAATCAAAAATACAAATGAAAGTTCATGGGTGGTACAATTTTTGTGTAGTGGTAGAATTAAAACGTTTAAGCCACACTGATTTAGCCAATCATAACCCTCGAATTCTTGATATATATAATCGTTGTGACACTTAGATATATGCTCAGTATCTACGTAAGAGTCAAACATTAATTGAAAATACAAAAATAGGTCAAGCTTATGCCGTTAGTCTACCTATAAAGTCTCGTAGCCATACTCACTCTTTTCAGCACAAAACTGTAACATGGACGGCGATTACCAGGCAATGGCTTACCCTATGGGAGATCAGCTTGATTTCTCTTCAAATGTACTACAGGAGATGCCGACGCAAGCTGTCGAGGAAGATTTAGAAGGCGATCCCACACAATATCAAGAAAACTACGATCAAGGTATTTTATTTAGTCAATTATTATTAGCTTTAGAAGGTTTTAGAATAATTTATGCTAAAATAATTTTAGTGATCTACGAGGATTGGCTTCTTACTATGAAATATAAAGTAAAAATAAATATTTTATGTTAATGTATATATAAAACCTATTTGTTCCTATTTCTTTTTATGGATATTTATTATAAATTAATACGGTTGACTCTAGATATAACGAACCTTTTATAATGAACTACTCTATAATGAACTTTTTAAAAAATTTATTATAGAGTTCGATATAAAAACATAGTAAATTATAAGGAACTTTTGAAAAATAAGAGCCGTCAGTTCGTTATAAAGAGAGTTGATTGTACAATGGATTCAAAGTTTATGATAACGAATGTACTCATGAATCTTAATATTAGACGATCTACAAGATTCCGAAATACAACCTGATATTACACAAGAAGATTGTTGGACAGTTATATCATCGTTTTTTCATGATAAAGGACTTGTTCGCCAACAACTCGATTCGTTTGACGAATTTGTGCAAAACACCATGCAAGAAATTGTTGATGAAAATAAAAATTTAGTACTACAAACTTTTTCAGGAAGCCAAACGGGAGATGGTGATAAAGCAGTATGTTCAGATATAATCCCTTCACAAAGAGAAAATCAAGATCTGGTGCAAATTTTCTTAGAAATTTATTACTTTATAATTGTTCATTTAGAAAAGATTCTATATTCGATTCGGTCAAGTTTATCTTTCGAAACCTACAATGACCGAAGCAGATGGTAGTGTCCAAGCGATGTTTCCACAAGAAGCACGCCTGCGAAATCTGACGTACGCATTATTATTATAATTATTATTATAACCAGTGTTTAAAATTCGATGTTCTCGACTTTGAGAACACTACACAATTTCAAGAGCATAAATTATTAAAATATATTCTCTATTTGGGAACATTGGATAAATTCTTTCGACTTAATTTTTTTATATAAAGGGCAACCCTTTTTTGAAATCATTAAAAATTTAAAAATCAAATTTGAAATTTAAACACTGATTATATCTATTATTATTTCTATTGTACGTGTGTGAAAGTACATTAAACATTTTATTTATCAATTTAACGCATTTTTTTTGTCAGTTATGCTGCACCGCTTTATGTCAACATGAAGGAAGAAGCATTATACGCCGATCCCAGAGCTCCAGAGAATAGGGGAAAGCCAACATTGGCCGAAATGTTTGATGAAAATAAGTTAAAAGATGATCCAAAAGAAGAAACTTACGACAAAGTTTTTGTTGGAAAGGTTTAGATCTTAAATATCTTAATATATTGAAATTTCAATGACTATCTCATTATGATTATATATTTAACAGATTCCAGTCATGTCGAAATCAACATATTGTGTGCTTCATGGCTTAGACGATGAAAGCCTTTATGCACTGAACGAATGTCCGTATGATCAGGTTTTTTTCATTTTCATGACTCGTCACAAAGCAAAAAAATAAATAATGCGATCATTTTAAATAATTTATTATGTAATATTGCATACTATATGTCAGGGCGGTTATTTCATCATCAATGGATCCGAAAAAGTATTGATCGCTCAAGAAAGAATGGCAACAAATACAGTATATGTATTTGCAAAATCCCCTCCCTCACCTTATTCGTACACTGCCGAGATAAGAAGTGCTATGGAAAAAGGATCAAAATTGGCTAGTTCATTGGTCGTCAAAATGTTAGCAAAGACAGCTGAGAAAGGAGTAGGCTTCGTCTTTTTTTGTTAATTTCGTAGCTCAACAATAATGACAGGCATTTAATTCAACTGTCTTTTTAAGTCGACCGGACAATTCATCCAAGCAACTATGCCTTACATTAAGAAAGATGTGCCAGTGGTAATCGCTTTCCGGGCCCTTGGCGCCGTTTCTGATCAAGATTTTCTTCAATATGTTTGCTATGATCCTAACGATAATCAAATGATGGAAGCGTTAAAACCGTGTATTGAGGAAGCGTTTGCAGTTCAAAGTACTGAAGTAAGCTAAACGTCTTATTGGTATCTTTCTATGCCTTTTTTGAAAAGATGACCTTCTATATAAGATGGAAATTTTAGGTTGCTGCCGATTGGATTGGACGTAGAGGGACAACCACTGGCGCTACTAGAGATAAGCGTATCAAGTATATATTTATTGACATTTATTGGCATAATTTATCAACGGTAGTTTCATTAACACGGGATACTTGTTATTTTAGATATGCTAAAGAAATTCTACAGAAAGAATTATTGCCTCATGTCTCAACTGAATATGGATGCGAAAAACGAAAAGCATTCTTTCTAGGATATATGGTGCACCGACTTTTACTGGCTGCTCTCGGGCGTCGAGAGTTGGATGATCGTGATCACTACGGGAAGAAAAGAATGGATCTTGCAGGTCCTTTATTGGCATCATTGTTTCGTATGTTATTCAAAAAGCTTACAAAAGATATCTCGATATATTTAAGAAAGGTTTGTATAGGCACATATTATTATTCTTTTTTTTTTTTTTTTTTTA